CTTTTGTGTGTTTTTTTAAGAAGGCGTAACAGACCTTTCAAACAATTCAGTTTTTTTTCTTTCATTTTCTGAGTTTTCTAACTCAGAAGCGGTTATTGGAGGGCGTGTCCTCCAAGTTAGGGATATGGTGTTGAGGATGCAGATGCAGACCAGGCTCCTTGATTGGAGGCAGCTTTATCATTTCCTCCCAACTGGGGCCCCATTTCCATTACTACCGGCCTAGTTTCAGCTAAAGTAGAAGCAATTCTTTGGGCAGCCAATGCCTCATTCATTTTAGGCTTCCATTCTTGCTTTCATTTGTTCTATAAGGGTCTTTTTGATGTAGAAAGGTGGATGCCATTGGTTGCAGTGAAATGGTGAGGTCCGGTGATAGCCACAGTAGGTGTTGGTTGGCATAATGTTGGTTACTTGAACGGGGTACCTGTAAAAGTATGAGGTAACTGATTTAAGGGTATTAGTAGTATCAGGGTAGCTGAATGAGAAGAGAATGGGGAACTCTTTGTTTCCAACTGTGCATGACTGCAAAAACAGAAAAGTGCTTGTGTTCCTTTCCTTTTTTTTTATTTAATGCTTATGGTATGTCGTGAATGCGCACACCAACACGTTCATTAATTTATTTTTAATGAGATGGACTCATCCATTGGTGTGCATATAGTCCTAAAGATAAGTTCTTATAGGCTATACACAAATAGAGATCGGTTATTAAGGGGACCCTTGAACCTTGAGATGATTATACCTAACCCACATGTGAAACAAAGAGTTTCGCGTTGGCGATCCAACTGGTACGCATAACTTCATGTGCCACCCCCCAAAAAATTAGGGATGGTTTTTGCAGTTAACAGGGAGGACTCTTTTGGCTGGTTCCGTCGGCATAATCAAGAGACTGCCGATCAGCGCTAACTTGCTATCTAACTCAGAAGTTGGAACAGAAAAGAAGAAATTCAATTTGAAGTCATTTTTTTATTGCTAATGGAGAAAAAGGAATTCCTCATCGTGCAAATAAAATCAAACAAGTTTAATGTCTAACACATTCAATTAAGTCCGGATTTATCGATCCTTAAGGAAAAGAACACTTGATTTCGTATTAGGGTACCCTGCAAAACAAAGCCATAATAAAATTGATGCTTTAAAGAAAGCGCCGGTAGTTTTTCACAACAATTGTAGTCCACTTTATGCAATTAATTACTAATTCCCCAGCAGAGTCGCCAAACTGTGAACCCCTTCCCCGAAGGCAACATAGGCATATAATGCATATGCATGCATGAGAAAGAAAATAACCACGTGATGCTGTGTTTGAGTCGCCAAATCGTTGATTTTAAGGCTCTAAGCCGAAATTGATTGATTTTAAGGCTTCGAGCCGAAAAAGTGTTGATTTAAAGCAATTCGTTTTGCTAAAAATGTGTAAATTTAGGCGAAATTTTTTTTTGGGGGTCCCGCCCCCCAAAATGGTGGATTTCTGAAGGCTTTTAGCCAAAATGATGTGATTTAGGCAATTTGTTTGCCAAACGATGTGATTGGCGAATTGTCGCCAAAGGTAATTTGATTTTAAGGCATTTGTGTCAAAATTGATTCATTTTAAGCGAATTTGTCGCTTCGAAAGTGTGATTTTAGGGGGGGGGGGGGGGGGGGCATTTGCGCCAAAATGGTTCATTAAGCGTTTGTCGTCAAAAAGTCCGTTGATTTTAAGGCATTTGGCCAAAAATGGTTCATTTAAGCGAATTTGTCGCTCAAAAGTGTTTGATTTTAATGGCATATTGCTGCCCAAAATGATTCATTTAGGCGATTTTTGTTGGCCAAAATTGTGATTGATTTAACTGTAGGCCAATTTGTTGCTCCAAAACGCGATTGATTAGGCTTTTTAGCCGCAATTATTAATTAATTGGACTTTTTGCAGATTTTGTTTTCGAAATAAGGCGATTGAACCGTAGTTATTAATTAACTTAGGCTCTTTAGCCCAATATTGTCGGATTTAAGCTTAACTACCCACGCATTTTAAATTAATCGGGCGTTAAGCTTAATTCATGTTTGTTTTTATTCAAACAGTTTATTTACCACAAAAAATGACGTGGATTGGCATTTATGGACAATTGTAGAATTATTAAGAGTAGAAGAGGAAATATGCATTGAAATCGCTAAAAATTAAATAGGCAGAGTTTGCTTTTACATTAACCTGATTTAATCGGCGACCGCTTCTTAACTCCAGGTTAGCTCCCTCGCTTAGGAAATTATTTAATTAATTTTTAATTTGTTAATTTTTAATGTCCAAATATTCACGATTAAAAAAATGCAATAAAAAATTAAATTAAATGCAAAGCGGGTAAAGAAGACGCAAAGACGTGAGAGGAGAGAGGGTTTTCGTCTATCGAACAGACAAGGGGCACCAGAAATAGGCTGAAAATGGCCTATATATAGGCCATTTTCGGGCCCGGGCGCAAGTGGGCAACCCTTCGCCCGCCAAGGGCTGGGCCGGCACGGCTGCCGCCCTGTCGGGTGGGGCGGGCAGGCCCCGCCCCGCTGGGCGGGGAGGTGCGCCTTGGCATGAGCGCGGGGGCAGCTCCGCCCAGTCGGTGGCGGCAGGCCCCGCCCGGTCTGGGCGGCAGGTTGTGCCCAAGCTGGGGCAGGACCTGCCGGCCCAGGGGGTGGAGGGCCAGGCCCCGCCCAATCTAGCAACGCAACCCCTGCCCCCCGCCTTCGCGCGGGCGACGGGGGCCCCGCGGTGCGCTGGGCGGCACAGCCTCGCCCGCGCAGGGCGGGAAGCCGCTCCGACCCCAACTCTTAACCCCACGCCACACCCCGATAAAGTCACGCGACGTCGGTATCTACGCTGCGCGACGTGGGCGGGCACGGCCTCGCCCAACGGCGCCGCGGCAGGCCACCGCCTGCGCGGGGCGACAGGCCTCGCCGCGCGCGCGTCGGGCGGCAGGCCTCGCCGCGGCAGGGCGGAACAGCCGCGCCCTGCGGCGGCGCTGGGGCAGGCCCCGGCCGCGCGGCAGCAGGGCCCCGGCCGCGCGGGGCGTGAAAGGCCCCGCGCGCGCTGGCGGCAGCCCTCGCCCGCGCTGGGCAGGCAGGCCTCGGCCCCAGGCAGTGGGCGGGGCAGGTGCCGCCCAGGCTTGGAGCGTGCTGCTGCCGCCGTTTCCGGCGCCGGAGGGTCGCCGTGCGCCCGGCGGGCCGAGCTCCGCCGTGCCCGGGCGGCAAGGACAGGTGCGCCCCATCCGCGCCCCAGTGGCCGGTGTGGAACACCGTTGCCTCGCTCCGGGAGCCTTTTTGGGAGTTGGGACCTCCGAAAAAAATATTTTCCGGACCTGTCCGCGGATCCTCGCGACATTCCGGGAACGTTTTACAGTACATTATATGACATATTTTTCGGTGAACTTCCGAAATAGCCTTCCGGTCCGGCGGACTATTTTGCAGTCCGGGAAAAAAAACAGCTTTTCTGAGCCTTAAAATTTGGGGTATTCACACTTTTTTGATGCAAAAAATTTTTGGCTATTTTCTTGCTTTTAAAACCCTTTCAAATCAAGTTTAATTCAAGAAATCAAGAAAATTTAATTAACAATATAAATAATTCTAAACCAAAAATTAATCAAAAGTAATTTAAAAAGACGCCTAAAAGTCCTAATAAAAATTTTAACTAAAATACTATAAAAAATAAGACTATCATATGTTATCGCGGACCTTTGTGAATGATGTTATATTCTAGTGAATGATTCAACTTATTATATTTAC